CCCCCGGGGCCAGCCGGGCTCAGGTCCCACCTGGTGACTGTGGTCCTCCCGGCCACCCCTCAGTGAGTCCTGACCTGTGTTAGGTGGCTGCCCCCACCCAGGACGGGGTCCCCCATGTGTCCACTCTCCTGACCTGACCTTGACCTTGACCTCCTGCCTCCCAGGAATGCTGACCCCGTGGCTTCCTGGGACTTCTGCTCCCAGGAGGCAACTGCACCTCTTCTGGGTCACCTGTCCTTCCCTCCCCCTTTCTCTGCTTGGGTCACTTGGCTTTGACTCCTAACCTGTCAGCACCTCTTCAGGAAGCCCAATAAACTCACTTCACCGGCCGATTTGTTTCCTTTCATCTGACCTTCATGGGGGTGTGGGGACCCCACGGTTTTGCCCAGACATGGTCTCCTCCAGCCATGAACATTTCTAGGAACGAGGGACTGAGCAGTCCCAGAGACAGGCCTACCTCGAGTGGGCAGAGCCACGGGTGGGACTCACGCCCTGGCCCAGGAAGCTCCGTGCCGGTGGGCCCAGTGCCCAGGGCTTCCCAGGCTGGTCACCTGCACACGGGTCATGGTCTGGGGGTTCTCAGCCCCTGGCCCGTTTCCACCCACAGCCCCATCTGGGCAAACCGGCCCCAGACAAGTGGGTCTGGGTGCTCCAGGGAGCTCTCCCATAGGGAGAACATCCTCTATGGGCCTGGGGTCGTCCTGTGTTCCTCCCCCGGGCTCTACCCATTTAGCAGAAAGGTGATGGAGCAGGGGAGGCAGTGCTCCAGCCAAGATGGGGTAACAGGGACGGGATTCCTTCCCACCTGGGCCAACTCTGAAAGTTGACAAGATCATGAAGCAAGGGTGTCAGATCCCGGGCCCAAGACACGCAGAATCAGTGCACTTGTGAGGGAGATAAGCAAGGTTCCTGTCACTGTTGGTGCCCTCACCACCTGGACAGGATTTCCAGCCCCCGTGCAGGAGGGCGAACCCCACGGAACTCCAAGGACCCCGAGTTCCATAGATGGCCTTGGGAAAAGCCCGGGCAGACAGAGTTGGGGTCAGAGTGCTGGAGAAGAGGCCCCGTCCCAGCGGTCTCCCCACCTGAGACCCTCTGTGCTCTGCCGTGTCCCCTCCCCGGCCCTGGCGCCCACGCTTCTGCTTTCTGTCTCTGAAGCTCCTCACATGAGCGGAATCACATTTCACTCGGCCCAGCGTCCTCATGCCTCGTCCGTGTTCTAGTCCGACTTGCTTCCCTTTACGGCTGAATAACGTTCCACGGTATGGATGGGCCACATCTGCTCATCCATCCATCTGCTGAGGGCACCGGGGTCCCTGTGAACATGTGTGTCCGAGCATCTCTTCGAATCCCTACTTGCAGTTCTGCTGAGCATATTCCCAATATAATCCCCAGACCATAGAGTAAGTCCGTTGCTATTCCTTCAAGAACCACCACACAAGCTTCCACGGTAGCTGGGCCTTTTCTCACTCCTACTAACGACACGCGAGGACTTCGGTTTGTCCACGTCCTCATCAACACTTGTTATTTTCTCCTTGTTATGTATGTACATTACGTGTTATCTCCTCGTTGTGTTTCTATTTGCGTGAATATTCTATATAATATATGTGGTTAACTCCTTGTATTTACATTTATATAAATATTATGTTATATATTATGTATATATATTTACCCTAATGGACGTAAGGTGGCTTCTCATTGTAGTTTTGATTTGTGTTTCTCTAGTGATTAGTAACGTGGAGCCTCTTTCACATGCTTATAGGTCACGTAATTTGTACTTCTTCTTTGGAAAAATGTCTGTTCAAGTCCTTTGCTCATTTTGGAATTGGGTTGTTTTGTTTTTTGTCGTTGAGTTTCGGGAATTCTCTACACGTGTTATATATAATTTCTTATCACATGATTTTCAAATATTTTCTCTCATTGTATTTAGGTTACCTTTTCTTCTCCATTGGTATTGCCTTCTGATGCAAAATATTTACAATTTTTGTGAAGGCCACTTTTTGTATTTTTCGTATGTTGCCTGTGCCTCTGGTATCACATCCAGGAAATCACCGCGAAATCCAATGTTGCAAAGCTTTTGCCCTGTGTTTTCGTCTAAGAGTTTTATAGTTTTAGGTCTTCCTTTTAGGTCATGGGTCTATTTTGAGTTCATTTTTGTGTATGGTGTGAGGTAAGAGTCCACTTACCTTCTTTTCCCTGGGGATAGTTAGTTTTGCCTGCACCGCTTGCTGAAGAGACTGTCATTTCTCCATTGAATGGACTCGGTGCTCTTTCAAAAATGATTTCACCTAATATGTTTATTTCTGGACTCTATTCCATTGGTCTGTATGTCTGTTTTTATGGCAGTATCACCCTATGTTCATTATTGTAGCTTTGTAGTGGTTTTTTTTTTTTTCATATAATTTATTGTCAAGTTAGCTAACATACAGCGCGTACAGGGTGCTCTTAGCTTTGGGAGTAGATTCCCATGATTCATCACTTACATACAACACCCAGGGCTCATCCCAACAAGTGCCCTCCTCAGTGCCCATCACCCGTTCCCCTCCCCCATCAACCCTCAGTTTGTTCTCTGTATTTAAGAGTCTCTTATGGTTTGCCTTCCTATAGATTTGTAGTTTTGAAATCAAGGAGTGGGAGTCCTCTAGCTTTGTTGTTTTTTTTTTTTTTTCAGGATTGTTTTGGCTATGCAGGATCCCTTGATTCCACATGAATTTAAGGATGGGGTTTTAGGTTTCAGTAAAACACCTCACTGAGATTTCAGTAGTGATTGCGTTACATCTGTAGATTGCTTGAGATGACAGTGATATCGTAACGATATTGAGTGTTCCAATCCTTGAACATGGGATGCCTTTCCATTTATTTGTCTTCCTTACTGTGTTTCAGCAATGTTTTGTAGTTTTCGTTGGACAGCTCTTTCACCTCCGTGGTTGTTAATTCATTTTACTTTATTCTTTTTTGGTGCAATTGTAAATGGAATTGTTTTATAAATTCCTTTTGGGGTTGTTCATCAGCAATGTATGGAAACGCAACTGAATTTTGACTTTGTATCCTGCTGTCTTTCTGAATTCATTTGCTAGTGCTAACGGGTCCTTAGGGTTTTCTACAAATAAGATCACAGCGTCTATGAACAGAGATGATTTTACATCTTCCCTTCCAATTTGGGCTACTGTATTTTATTCTCTAACTATTCTCCTAGAACTTCCAGTCCTGTGGTGAATAGAGGCAGTGAAAGTGGGCATCTCTGTCTGTCCTGATCTTACAGGAAAAGCTCTCAGTCTTTCACTGTTGAGTATGATGTTTGTTGTGGGATTTTCACATATATATTTTATTTTGTTGAGGTAGTTCCTTCTACTCCTAATTTGTTGAGTGTTTTATTGTGAGAGGGTGTTGAACTTTTTCAAATGCTTTTTCCGCATCAATTGAGATGATCATGTACTTTTTCCTTTATTCTGGTAATGTTGGCTATTATATTGACTGGTTTTCATATGTGGAACCACCCTTAAATTCGAGAAATAGGTCCTCCTTGGTTGTGGTGCATAATTCCTTTACTCTGCTGCTGAATTCAATTTGCTAGTGTTTTATTGAAGATTTTTGCATCAGTGTTCATAAGGGATATTGTTTTGTAGTTTTCTGTTCCTGTAGTGTCTTTGCCTGGCTTTGTTGTCACAGGATTATAAATCTCATAAGATGAGTTGGGGAGTGTTTCCTCCTGTTTAACTTTTTTAAAGTTTATAGTGAACTAGGAATGATTGAACAAACTCTGAACCTGATATAAGGCATCTATGAAAAACTTACAGCCAGCATCATACTTAATTGTAAAAGACTGAATGCTTTCTGCTAAAGATCAGGAAGAAGATACAGATGTCCTCTCTCACTGTTCCTGTTGAACATCACGCTGAAGCCTTACCTGTGCAGCAAGCGAGGAAAAGAAATAAAACACATACGTATTGAAAATGAAGAAATGCAGTTGTCTCCATTCCCAGAGGACATGATCATCCACATAGAAAACCCCCAAGAATATACAAAAAACTCCTAGAAATATAAGAGAGTTTGGCAAAGTTGAAGTATGTAAGCCTAAAATAATAAAAATTAATTCATTTATTTTTTTTATTAAAAAATTTTTTTGACGTTTATTTATTTTTGAGAGAAAGAGACAGATCACAAGCAAGGGAGTTTCAGAGAGAGAGGAAGATACAGAATCTGAAGCAGGCTCCAGGCTCTGAGCTGTCAGCACAGACCCCGACGTGGGGCTGAACTCACAAACTGTGAGATCATGACCCGAGCCAAAGTTGGATGCTTAATTGATTGAGACACCAGGTGCCCCCAAATTAATTCATTTCTTTTTTTTTTTAATTTTTAAAAATGTTTTACTTATTTTTGAGAGAGAGAGAGACAGAGTGTGAGCAGGGGAGGGGCAGACAGAGAGGGAGACACAGAATCCGAAGAAGCCGGATGCGGGGCTGGAACTCACAAACCACAAGATCACAACCTGAGCTGAAGTCGGATGCTCAACCGACTGAGCCACCCAGGAGCCCCAATTCATTTGTATATAATAGCAATAAAGAATTGAAACTGAAAATTTTTGTTTAAAAGTTTGATTTACAACAGAGTGAAAAATGAAAGCTTAAGTATAAATCTCACAGAATGTGTGCATGAGAATGATAAAAATTACTGATGGGAGTAATTTAACAAGACGTAAATAAACGGAGAGCTCGACTATGTTCTAGGTTACGGTCGAGTAATTGTCGTGACGTCAGTTACCTCCAGACTGATCCACAGATTCAAGGCAATCCCAGCAAGAGATTTTTGTCACTGTGAACAAGCTAATTCTAAAATTATTTGGAAAGGCAAAGAAGCTCCACTACCCAAACCATGTGAAGATGATGAGCACAGTTGGTGGACTTCACTACCTGATTCCAGATCTGCTTTAAAACTATAGCAATCAAGACAATGTGATGTCGGCAAAGGGACAGAAGCGTGCAGATTAATGAAACAGGATAGACACACACACCCACACGAAAACAGGCAACTGATTTCTGACACATCAGTGACACAGTGTGTTTGGAACATCTAGATGGCCATATGCAAAAAAAAAAAAAAAAAAAAAAAAAAGTGAATCTTGACCCATACCTTACACTTAGTGTAAAAATGTAATCAAAATTGATCCTAGGCCTAAATGTAAAATGTGAACGTTTTAAACTTGCAGAAGAAAACACAGGAGAACATTGTGACCGTGTGTTGGGCGGAGTTCTTAGGTTTAATACCAAAGGCATGGTCTGAAAAAGAAGGAAATTGATAAATTGGACTTTACCCACATTAACTCTGATTGCTCCTCAAAAAGCCGGTAAGAGATACACAACATACAGATCCGTGTCCATCGACCGTGTGCGTGATCAGTAGGGCTTCCGGTCAACAGCAGGCAAGAAACAGTTAAGGTCTTGGGGAGTCAAAGTTATACACAAATGTTTGACGGTAACTCCCGTGTTAGCCGGGGGTCCACCGTATGCATCCGCAGTGCATAAAGGACTCTCAAAATTCAATGTCAAGAAAACCTACAAAAGGGAGGGGCCTGAACCCTTGCAGAAATACCAAAAAGACGCATGGATGGCAAATAAATACGTGAAACGATGCTCGACGCCGTTCATCATCAGGGCAATGCAGAGGCAAATACAGGAAGATACCCCTGCTCACCGATTAGAATGGCTACTGTTTAACAGAAAGCCGGCAACCTCAAGTGCTGGCAATGATACACGGTGACTAGAGCTCTCCGTGCTGTTGGGGAAGGAGGGAACGCAAAAAGGCACAGCCACTGTGCAAAACAGTTTGGCTGCTATTTATTTATTTATTTAGAGAGCACGTGCACAAGCAGGGGAGGGGCAGAGAGAGAGGGAGGGAGAGAAGCCCAAGCAGGCTCGGTGCTATCAGCACAGGGTCCGAGGCAGGGCTTGGAGCCACGAACTGTGAGATCATGACCCGAGCCGAGATCGAGAGATGCATAACCACCCAGGCGCCCTGTAGTTTGGTGGTTTTTTATCACGTTAAACAGGCTCTTGCCCTGTGACCCAGCGACGCCACTTCTAGGTGCTTACCCTGGAGAAATAAAAACTCGCTGCATTGCAAAAACCTGCACACGATGTTTGTGGCAGCATGTTCATAACCCTCAAAAGCAGGAAGCAATGAAAATGTCCTTCACCCGGGAGGCTCAAGCTTCCTTAGCTCAGTCTATGGAACCCCACTCCCGCCTTAGTCATGATCTCATGATCCGTTGAGCCCAGCCTGTTCCAGGGCTGGTTTCAGGGCTGACAGCTCAGAGCCTAGAGCCTGTTTGGACCTGTGTCTCCCTCTCTCCTGAATCCTTCCCTGCCCAGTTCATGCCTGTCTCTCCCTGTCTCAAAATAAACGTTAAAAACGTTAAAATTTTTTTTGACCTGGGGTTTGGCATGATAGTCGGTTAAGCGTCCGACTTCAGCCAGGTCACGTCTGGTCCCAGTGAGTTTAAGTTCGCCCGCGTCAGGGCTCTTAATGGCTCAGAGCCTGGAGCCTGTTCGATTCTGTGTCTCCTCTCTGTCTCCCCGTTCATGCTCTGTCTCTCTCTGTCCCAAAAATAAATAAATGTTGAAAAAAAAAATTTAAAAAAAAAAAAAATTTTTTTTTAAAAAGAAGAAAAAAAAAGAAAATGTCCTTCACCAGTCGACAGAATAATCAAGTTGTGGTACGTCCATACAGCGGAGTCCACTCAGCAGTAAAGAGAGGAGAACTGTCAGTTCACGACATGCGTGAAGCCCAGTGCATTCTGCTAAATGAAAGAAGCCAGACCCGAAAGGCTGCATACTGTATGCATAGGACAGTCTAGAAGAGACACAACTGTAGTGACTGGGAGTCAGTGGTGGCAGAGGTTTGGGATGGGGAACACAAGGGGCTTCTGCATGGTGCCGCCACAGAACAAGTGAAACGTAGAGGGACGCGGGGTGAGACAGTGAACAGTTGCTCTATAGATTCTGTAAGGCCAAGCGGCCGAAATTCTTCCCCCTGAAGACGTCGAGGACTGCAATCTGCTCTTTGCTGATTTTTTTTCTTTTTTGCTCTTGATTATTTGTTATGTTCTGCTTCTCTTCGTTTCTGCACCGAGTTTTGCTGGCCCATGGAGTCCCGTCTGCGTTCATAGACGGTGTGTGAGTAGCAGGGTCTCGGAGCAGCCGCGAACCTTCCCGTCCCGTGCACCAGAGGGCTCAGTGCTGCCGCGTAATCGATCCCATCTCCCTCCAGCTTTGCAGATGTGGTTCTAGGTCTTTAGGCATCTCGGTTCGCTGAGTTGCTTCCAATCACTTCCGATCTCTCTGGAAGCTTCCAGGATGCTTCTTTAGGTTTGGTGTAAGACAACTCACCAGTGTGTCCCGACGTGCAGCATTCTCTGTGTATCTCATCCCACGTTTGGTCAGATTCCACCTCCGAAGACCACATCTCCCTCTGTCTGAGAAATGTTGCCTTTTGTCGATCGGTCTTCCTGGAAAGCTTCTCTGATGAACGTTGGATGCTGTGCACATCGTTTCTCTTAGGTTTTGCACAGTCCATCTCTGTCGTTCTGCGCTGAGACACTCTGTCCCCTTCCCATTCGCTCCTGACTGCCTGGCCTCCACTCAGCACTCGGTGTGCGGACGTCCTGCAGCCGATGGGCAGACCTGTCCCGGCGTTCCGGTCCTTCTGCCCGCTGAGACCCGGGGATGCACGGTGCTCACCTGGACCGCCGCAAACCCCCGGGCATCAGGGCGCACACTGGGCAGTGAGCAGGCTGCATGCCCGCAGGGCTCCAGGACTCTAGAGTTTTCCTGTGGTGTTTGCTTAGAGAACCAAAAGTAGTCAGGGGCCAAGCCAGTCCTTAACCATGACAGGCATTGTCCAAGCAGCAAACTCTTTAGTGTAAATAAACCAGAAGTAATAAACACTCTCAGGACTCAGTCAAAACACCAACAAGGAAAGGGAAGTCTTGGTGACAACACACAGCTGGGAGGTATAAAAGGCGACAGACAGCCGGAGCTCCTCACACACTCACACACACACACTCACACACACTCACACACACACACACCGCCTCCTGCAGCCCCACCGCCCCCGCCATGGCCGCGTCCACCCTGTCCGTCTGCTCCAGCGACCTGAGCTATGGCAGCCGCGTCTGCCTGCCCGGGGCCTCGGACTCCTGCCCCGACTCCTCCTGGCAGGTGGACGACTGCCCAGAGAGCTGCTGCGAGCCCCCGTGCTGCGCCCCGGCCCCCTGCCTGACCCTCCTGTGCGGACCCTCCTCCCCCTGCCAGGGAGACTGCTGCACCCCTGCATGCTGCAAGCCCGTGTGCTGCACCCCTGTCTGCTGCAAGCCCGTCTGCTGCACCCCTGTGTGCTGCAAGCCCGTCTGCTGCACCCCTGTCT